CTTCTGATTGACAAGCCCTAGTCTTTGTGATTTAACCCACAGTGCCACCTGCATCCCTATCTGGTTTATCTGGTTACCCTTGGTTAATTCCAATGGCTTCAAATAGCCTCAACCTAGGCAGCAATCTCTTATCATTCTCTCTTCCCACCCCACCCCCAAACCACACAGTAGCTGGTTACCTAGAACAAGAGTATTTGCTTCTCTCATACCACTCAGAAAGTCATGCAACAAAGGGGTGTGTGTGTGTGTGTGTGTGTGTGTGTGTGTGTGTGTACTTTCCTTTTCTTCCCCTTTTGCTATATGCCAGCTCCAGACTGAGAGCCCCGAAGCAGAGGATTGCATTTTGTAGAAGATCCACAGGGTTTAGGGTCCAGCAGAACCAAAGCCTCTGGCATCCCACCCCAAAAGGCAACATTTTGGGATATTTCTATTAGTTACTGCTCCTGCCAGCAGCCCTTTACTGCCCACTTAGGCAGAGACCCCCAAAGCAGTACTTATTCCTGCTGGCAGTGCTTAGCAAAGAGAACACTATGAACCATCCTACAAAACATAGACCACTTATATTGAGGTAGGTAAGCTAGGATTGCAGCCACAGACTAGTGGCTGGTTACACACTTTATATTAATAACACATGACTCAGCTGAAGAATGCTACAGCAGTCCAGAACATGCTTGGGAATTTTATTTAAGAGGGTGTTTAAAATCTCCTTGAGGAATGAAGTCGAAGAAATATTTGAGGTTTATTTATAAATTATCTTATTTGCATAGATCAGGACTTTTGGGGGGTATAGCCAATAAGCAAAGCAGAGATATTGTTACTTCAAAGTCAGGCTGCCACTCTTCAATGAGACGACAACAGTAACTGATGCTTTCAGTCGAAACAGGATCCGTGAGCTCCATAAATAGAGCATTTCCCGTGAGAAAGAAGAGTTTGGAAAAATGGGACAAGCGCAACAACATACAGTGAGACATATTGCTGTGCAGAAAGCAGTCACATCCACATAAGGATAAAAACTTCTCCCCAGCCTGGGCAAGAGTACCTTTTCTGAATTCCACACCACCGGAATGCAAAATACGAGACAGTAAGGCACCCAATGACTTCACTGTTTGGGGAGGCAGACAAATTAATCCTTTCTTCTAGGGTAGTTGTAGGTAGGCAAGATATTGTTTTAGCTTATTGATATCACAAAAGCAAGCAACAATCATAAGAAAAATCTAGAATTTGATATTGAATGTCTGTCCCATTCACATGGTATGGATGTCAAAAATGATGGGCAGAGAGGAGCCTCCCCCTTTCTTACCTTTCTGCTCTCCCAGCCTGGCTCACATCTGGTATCAAGAGCCAGGCTAAGGGCAAGAATTTGGGTGGTAATCTACAGAAAGATGAGATGCAGTAACTCAGCAGGCATTTTTAATGAATATCCATCGTACGGCAACTGCCAAGGACAAAATGTTCCCATTTTTCTTTCCCAAGGGTTTCTAAATTAAACTGCAATTACTATTTTTTACTGCTAGTTTTATTGACCATTTCAGGTTTTTTTCCAAAGCTTGTCTGTCACTGGTTATGTAGTGTGAGCTGCATATCTATACTGAAGGGTGGCACAGAAATAAATACAGTGGTACCTCGGGTTACAAGCACTTCGGGTTACAGACTCCACTAACCCAGAAGTAGTACCTCGGGTTAAGAACTTTACCCCAAGATGAGAACAGAAATCACTCAGTGGCAGCAGGAGGCCCCATTAGCTAAAGTAGTACCTCAGGTAAGAATGGTTTCAGGTTAAGAACGGACCTCCGGAACGAATTAAGTACTTAACCCAAGGTACCACTGTAGAAGAAAGTAACATGGTAAAAGCAGAGTGGAATGCAATCTGATCATCTACAAGATATGCCATTCATATTATAACCATTTTACAGATGGATAGCTAAGGGCTTTTCTGCACCATTGCAGTCATTGCCAGTTTGTAGAACACAATCTAGGTGCCTGAGTTGTGCTTCTCTTGAGGAAATACTAAATCATATACCTGTGCCATATCCTGCCCAGAATTATGGGCACATGGATATGCACATGGACATGCACATGGACAGCTGATGATGAACTGGAACAGAAGGGTGGACCAAGATCATTTCTGTTCCCTTCCAAACCTTATGACTTCCACATCCAAGTAAATTTACATTCATTGTGTTAGTCTTAGGTATAAACACAATGGCACTCATGCAACCACACCCAGTAACTCAGGCTTGCTGTCCTAACCATGCAGCTACTAGATAATATTCCCTTTGGAATAAAGAGAAAATCAAACCCAACAGGAATTAGGGATGACTCCACCTTTAAAAGAAAACACCAACAGAGAACAAACCAGAATCTGCTAATTGAGCTGACACATGCCAGAGGACTCTTCATACTATGTTATAAAGAAATTGCTACAGGCAGTGTCAGGAAATGAAACAACTCTAAGAACAGAGAACACTTTTCCCCCTATGAACTAGACTGGTACTTAGCAGAAGAAACATTATTACAAGAGACACACCTGTCAACAGAAGACAGTCATTTGTGTGTAGTTTTTAATAAGAGGCATGGTGTTAAGGTTAGGCTAGGATGTTGCTATTGGGATATTATTCAGGTTTCTGCAAGAGCAGAATTCAGCTGCCTTTAATATGGTGAGGGCTGCTCACCAGAGAACACTGCCTAGTAAACATACGTACTTTTTCTCTCTTCTCTCAATCGCAGGGGATACTTCTGTCTTGCTAACTTTTCCCGCTAAATGGCAGAGCAGACTCCTCTACTGCCCTGTGTCCTATCATGATCTTTTAGACCAGGTGTGGAGGCATTTTCAATGGTTTCCAGTCTGGGGTAGGTTAAAAAAAAGTAGAGAAATATCCCTGATGCTTGAGGCGCTACTTCCTACTAGACACCCCATGTTGCTTCAGCATACAGTGGTACCTCGGTTTAAGAACAGCCCTGTTTACGAACTATTCGGTTAACGAACTCTGCAAAACCAGAAGTAGTGTTCTGGTTAGTGAACTTTACCTCGGTCTATGAACGGAAGCCGAACGGTGGAAGGGCACCAGCGGTGAGAGGCCTCATTAGGGAAAGCGCACCTTAGTTTAAGAACAGCTTTGGTTCAAGAACAGACTTCCGGAAAGGATTAAATTCATAAACCGAGGTACCACTGTACCATGTTTTCACTTCTTCCATTTTGCTCACAAGTTCCAGCTCATTCTGAACAGCCAGCTGCTCACCACGTTAATAGTATATGAAACTCTCCCTTGTCAAGAAGCATCAATATAAACTAGCATTAAAAACAAGCTGCATGCTAAGCTGCTAACCTTTCTTCTTAGGTTTTGCACTTGGCAGATGAGGCTGTAAATAATTAAGACAGAAATGTAGGGCAAGCCTTAATAAATCGCTGTGAGTTATTTCTTGTTCTCTTGATACCTTTTCTGATTAAGTTTCTTGAAAGGCAGGTTTTTAGGGAGCTCCTCCAAGACAGAAGCTTGTCTGACAAAACTGGAACAGAAGTATTATAATTACCACTGTGCTCCTATTATATTTTAAAGTTTTTCCCCCAGAGGAACTGCTCAGAAAGTAGGGCTAGAGGGGAATCTATTAAAGTTATCACAGTAGCAATCAAATTAGCTTTCTATATTGGACACAGCAGTATTCAATACTTGACAGTCCAGAGAAAGTTGCAAGGTCTACTTTGAATCAAGGCTTGGCCCCAGAATCTGTTTTCAGACCCCCCTTCAACCGTGGAAGGAAATGATGGCCCTGAACACACACAGGGGGCATTCATCTCACAGAACAAACATAGCCAGTCCTCACACATTTGAGATTAGGGTTTCCAGTTAATAGGATGTGTCATCAAGATAAGTGTTGCCAAGCACAGGAAAATTAACTTTCTATGGAAGACTGCTCCTAAGGAAACATTCTTCCCAATATGTATGACACGATGACTAGCTCATGCCCTGAGAGGTCTATCTCTATTTGTTCTCTTTGTAAACATACTAATCTGCAAGTAGAAATCTACTTTTCTAATCTGAAAATGGGGGTGGCCAAATGTATTTTTGCACCTGAAGCAGGAAATCCAAATGGCAGCCTCCTCAAAGAAAGAATCCGGGGGGGGCGGGACCTGCCATGCCTTAATGACATTCAGTGTCTGCTGTCAGAAGAGACTGCCTCCCTCTACCTGAAGCAATTAAACAGAAAAAGAAGGCGGGTCTAAATCCAAAATACTAATTACATGCAAATTATGTTAATGAAACATGAAGCACCTGCTGCAAAAAACATCTCCTTGTAGGGACAATTTAAAGAGAAGCAGCTGAAAGAGGTGGTACTTCATCCTCTCTCTCCTCTGTCTCCCTGCTTCTACTTCTCAAACCAAATCACTGTGTAGGGAAGGGATTCAGCTACACACATTTAAGCAGAGCATGAAACCACAGGATGGGAGAGTGCTGTTGGCCTCAGGTCCTGCTTGCAGGTTTCCCATAGGTATTTGGTTGGCCACTGTGAAACAGGATGCTGGACTAGATGGGCTACTGGCCTGATCCAGCAGACTCTTCTCATATAAGCATGCAATTTGGCTAACACTGCAATTCTATGTGTACTTTATTGGGGGGTTCGCTCCACTGAAATCAGTAAGACTTGCTTTCACTTAAAGGTAGAATAGGAGCATTTAGCACTTGCTACATTTAAAGGGGCCATACTATATAGATGATAAAATATTTCCCAGTTCTGTTTATTAGATTCAGACCTTTTAGAAACCTGCTAACCAGAGCCTAAAAATAAGGTGCCTAAATGTTTTCACTAAGCTGTGATGTTCTATTATACGCCACTGTTAGTGATGTTACATTTCCATTCTTTATCAAAAGGTGGGGAAGGCAAATCTTCATTTTAAACATACACCTAGACCAGTTTGCTAAGCACAGGAGAAAAGTGTCATTCTTGCACTGTTATATGGAAAGTCCATTATCAAAAGAAGGAAAATAGTTTGATCTTGAAATGAATTATCAAGAAGAAAAGCATAAAAATGCTTTATTAGGAATATCTGATGAATTTGTACACACCAAAACAATTCTATACTGTACATAAAAATGAAGTCAATACACTTTCTGAAAAGCAGTACTGTATTTATACAAAGTCTAACATGTCAATTAAATTTTAAGAAACATGAGGAACAAAAGCACAATCTGTACCACCAAGTGCTGGGACCTAGAAGCAGCTTAAGTGCAGGGACTCATTTCAAGAGTTTGTTGATCACAGCAAAAGAGGAGTTAAAGCCAACAGATCAGAGGAAAGATAACTGATCATGGTTGCTGGCAAATATATCAGAACAAGGCTGCTTGGATCAACCCTTTTCCTAAAGCAATACAATCATACTCTGAAAAAAAATAGTATCATGATGTTTAAAGATTCAGCAAAATCACATCACTATGCTTATTTTGCTACAATGTCATGGCACTCCATACAGAAAAGATTTTAATTTCTTTAAAAATGCAGACGGAGTTGGTCCAGTACTGAGTAATTCAAAAGCAGGAAACATCTTTAGCCCACTGAAATGGAAAAAAGCATATTTCCTAGCCTGGTTGCATATTGAATACAAAAAGTACATTCTTCAAAGCACAAAACAAGGATTTCTTACAATCCACATTAACAGACTTTTTGGTTTAGCTTGTTTAGTTCACTATTTTAATTCATGCATAAACTGATTAATTATACTGTACCAAAGATCTTAACATAAGTTTAAATGCTGTACATTGAAATCATGAAATAGGCATTCTTCTTTAAAAAGAAAACCGGGGGAGTTGAGCTTTTGGAATATGTCTTCATCATACGATTTCCTGTTAAATCGGCACCTATGACATGCTACATAACTATGAGAAGCAAATCTTAGGAATGGGTATAAATAATGGGAGTCTATAGTTAAAGAGCAGCATTCCCCTGGCAGGTAATATATGAACATTTAAGTATGTTTACAAAAAAAATGAAAGCTGAAATCACTAGAAAAAAATAAGTACCATGAATCTGTTACTGAAACATTAATAAGCATTGTTTAGTTGTCGCCTCCTGAAGTAAACATTCCATCTGAAGCCGAATCCAGGAGCTCCTTAAACAATGAGAGTTCTATACATCTGAAGTTCTCATATAAACAATAGCTTCATCAATGAATTTGAAGTCAGGGCAGCAGTGTATGCAAAGGGGAATAGGGGAAACATGCATGTTTTGAAAATAAAGTGACTTGGGGAATCCAAGGCACATGGGAACTCTATATGCACACCACTTAGGTTCAAAACCTTTATGGCTAAAAGAACCTACTGAAAGTGAACTACTTTTAGTTATAGATGCTAACCAATTCATTAAGGACTCAAACTGGAAAAAAGCAGAAAAGGGCAAAGGAAAGACATTCATGGCGAAGGATCCAACAAGTCTATTGTTTAGCATTGGGTTCTATTTAACCTAGACTGAAACTGAATCCATAAATTTCCTTGACAAAAATTTGCTAAGTAAGTGCCTATAAACACAAAGAGGTAACACCAAGCTTTGAACAAGCTTCTTGTCCTGCAGATGTGGAGGAATATTTTTTATCCATATTAGAGCTGAAGGGTAGAAGCAGTCTGAAGGGTAGACTACTTCACTGGGAAGCAGCATGAAGCAGCTAGTCGTGGCTATAAGGTGCTGTAAATTCAAGTGTCGCTTAAAAAGGCACGTCTCCTAAGGATAGCCTTGCTTCTTTTAATTGCATATTGAAACTCTATTTACAAATCCAAGATCTACATTTATAAGCCATTTCAAAGAAATAATCTTCCATAAGTCAGCAATTTTGTTTACAGGAGCTATCTGAGAAACTCTGGTTACTTCTTTTACAACTTATTTCTATCTACTGCTGATTTCTGCATGCGACTAAGAATGCACTCTACAAATACTTTGATTGATGCTGGTTTCTTCTTCCCAAAACCACTAACAGGATAGCATACAATCTACACTGAACATGAGTTCAGTTTATTTAGGAATATGGTCAGACATAATAAGATCTGACAGTTACTAAGTTGTAAGGCTCCTCTAAGGATTCAGGGAATTCATTGGGTTAATGGGGCGGGGGCAGAGGAGAAAGAAACACATAGCAGCAATTACCAAATGATACAATACATGCAACTAAATCAATACAGCTAACACAATAGACAACTATGCTTCAATCAAAAATAGAAACACTTCGAAGTGTTTGCCATTCCAACTACCTGAAAGATTCAAAACTATATAAGTATAGCAGACCACACACATCTAAGGCATATAAGTACAAACATCTTGCCATCACACATAGCTAAGGATACTATCATAGCTCACCAAAATAACTGAAAGGAACTAAGTCCAGAAGGATTTGGAGCGTATCAGCAACACATGAAACTGTGACGAACACTAATGGTTTCCGGCCAAATTCATGTGTAAAAGCACTTACTTCATTTTTTATCATGCCAAAAGCTGTAATAATTTCATTCAAACCAGAAAAATGCAAAGGAGTCATTTAGAAGCTGCCCAGTGTGTCAGGAAGCAAGTTATTTTAGACATCACAAAATTTGGCTAAAGTAGTTCTACAACCGTTAAGAGTCCAGATTTTTTGGGGGGAGGGGTGAAGGGAGGTGTCTCTTGACTATTGAAGAATTCAGCTTAATTCTTCAAAAGCTGTATTTTATTGGTTTTTCAACAACATACATATAGAATTTTTTCCAGCCAATGCTGTCAGCCCTGGTTTAAAAACAGAAAACTGCTTTCAGAATGACTAGTCATAGTGTAACTGCAAACAACCTACGCCTATATGAATCAGTACATTGCTTCAAAATGCAGCCTGCAGTTTATGCCTAAGTGCAAAAACTGTTACTACACACAATCCTATATTAGGCCCTAACTATTAAACACTGTATGTAATCAAGCCAAACCTTAGGCAAGAGATCAGCGAGACTAAATCAAATGCACATACAAAAAAGGCCATGACCAATTTGCATTTAATCCTTTGGATTGTAACTGTGCAGTGGCAGAAAAATGTGACAGCTAAGGTGGTTTATGGCTAACAGACATTAGCTCTTTGTCTTCTCTTTATCAGTTTCACTTTGACTCCTTAAAGAAAACATGTTGGACAGATAGCATTCTCTCACTGTGTAGAAGAATGCTATACAGGATGGTTTGGCAGTTCTGCAACACTTCATCACAAATCATGGGGGAAAGATGGCTGTGACCAAAACTAACACAAATGGCATGATTGCTGTCATTGCCCGACTGCGACAACACAAGACAGCTGCAGCATAGCTCAGTCCAACATTTACGTGGCCTGTAAGTGATGAGCAAATATACTTTTGGTCTTGTGTCGTCTATGGGAGATTGGTCGACGTAAAGTGCAAGAGAGAAAGCAATGTCCAGCACAAGACCTCTGTTATTTAATATTCCCATTCATCTGTTTTCATGTCTAAGTAGTAAAGAATATTCTGCGCAAGCTTCACTGCCTGCTTCCTGGCTGCTTTTGAGTGCTCATCCCCTTGTGGGTCTATAGCATCAAGTGCTAGAAGTTGTTTGGTGAGGAGCTCCTCTAGTCTCATGTAGTTCTTATCAGTTCTGTTTCCATCGAAAGACAGCACCTCTTGCTGAATTTGGGACACGTTTCCAAGAATATTCCAAACAGCTTTATGTGATGCGGGTTCTGCTTCTGTTTGCTCTGCAAACATTTGTCGCTTGACAAGTGCTTCCTTTAAGTCAATATATGTTATGAGGGTTTGTACTTCTATCACTGCTCTCCTCCTGGCTTCTCGGATACAAGGATTTTTGCCTGGACTCACTTCATCCAACTGTGCAATTAACCCTTGCAGTTCTGCTTTTGACTTCAGGTATAAATCTGAAGCTCTCTCTACTTTTAAAAGAGAAGCATGAATCTCTTTCATCTTTTTGCGGATTTCCTCAATTTTTATAATGCACCTGTTTTGTGCCAAGTCATAAGCAGAAGTAGCATCAGCTTCTTCTTCAAGATCCAGGTATTTCTGCAATTTATTGATCTCCTCCACAACTTCTTTACGGTAGTTCCTTATTTCTGGACGGCCACATACATCTAAGGCATCCAGATCAGCAATCAGGCCAGTGAGCACACAAGATAAATGTCTACAGGTCTCATTGTTATTTACTCCCATTAAAACAGCAATAAGGGTCCCTTTCGCTTTGTTCACATCAACCATGACAGAATTAATCTTAGAGACAGAAGGATGTGCATCACTGGACAATGGCAGTGAAGGCTGCTGCTTTGTACAACTGTCTATAATTTCTTGAACAGCACACACTTTGGTCAGAGTGCGATACCTGGCTTTCCGTAGAGAGAGTTTCCCTCCAGTTTTCACCTGAGTGAGCCTAAAGATGATATCTTGAATACCTTCTTCAAATTCCTCAGTTACACAATTGCCTCCTTTGTAAAAAGCTGTGATTTCTTGTTCCACCAATGATTGTGCTTCATTAAACAGGGATTCAATCTCCAACCTTTGGGGGTGGTTTGCATTCTGCTCCAGTTCCTTAAGCAGTCTTTCAGTTTCCTGGGCAGCCCTCTTCCTGGCTTGCTGAACATCACCTCTGCCTTCAGCATCCACAGAATCGATTTCAAAAAGTTGTTTAGTCAAAACTCTCTCTAGTTTCTTGTAAGCTCTGTCACTAGACAGACCACTGAAGGATATTACTTGTGACTCAAACTCTTTGACTTCTTTCTGTATTTCTTGTAGCCTCTTAATGGAAGGATGTTGGTTACCCATATCCATACTTTTTCTTCATCCAGTTCCAACAGAGCTAGAAATAATGCAAAGATACAATCAAATATAACTGATGCTTGAAATACATGTCTGCTTGTTAGTCAATATTTTGAAAATTCAACTTTTCTGCTCTAATTCTACAAAGACCTAACATTTCACTTTTTACCAACATCTAGTCTTGGAAATACCTGTCCACAAACAAAAGAGGACTTACCCTATGTATGTCCCATTGAGTTTCATGAAATGACAGTTTAAAAAGCATGACATCTCTGGATCTTTTCTAAAAAATATTTTTAAAGGGTATCTCCTAGAATTTTGTTTACTGTCACACACTAACGGCTTGATCCTATGCATTTTAACTAAAGCAATAAACAGTATGTTTCATGAGCCTCTCCTGCCCCCCCGCCCAATCATATGCACACCAAGAAGAGGGTTTTCTTTCCTTTGTCATTAGACATCACAGGCGAGGCAGAACAAAGTAGCTGATGCACTGAGGAAGAAAATTAAAGATGATAGTGCCATCTGCTTCCCAAACATTACTCTTCTGGTGCCAGTAAAAGGCAGCAGCTAAACAAGGAAAAGAAGATACCGCTCATCTTCACTTGCCCTGGTCAGACTAGTAATGAGATACATGATAATATAGCCAGTACAGTCAGTACTACACTTGCACTTTCCTCTCTCCAACGCCCCCAGCAATAAGGCAGCTGTGCCCTCTCAACATTTCAAACCACAGCAAGCAGCCCTTCGGCCAGGCAACATCTGAATACCTCCTTGGGATCTTCCCAATTCCCTCTCTGTCTATATGGCCTTGTCTCCAGTTCATCTGCCCCTTGCTGCCGCCGCCCTCCCACCCGGGAGCTCCCCCTCCCTGCCCCACCCACCACCCCGTATACACACAAAGCCAGCGGCGCCCGCCCCGTTCTCACCCCAGCGAGAAGCCCCTTGGGGGAAGCGAGTCCCCGTGCACAGAGCTTGATCCCCCGCCCCCTATATCAACCCTACATTCCTGCAGGAAGGAAGCCGGGAATCAGCCCCGAGCTCGGGCCGCTTCCCCCCAGGCGGAGCTCGCGGGCAGCCTCCCTCGCCGCCCTCGGTCCCCAGTGACTTCACAATGCCGGACACTCTAATTCCGCCTGGGGCGGCCGAGTCGCTTCTCCGGGAGCGGCTCAAAGCCGGAGGGTGGCGCCAGGAAAACGGGAAGCAGCTTCAGCAGCCAGAAGGAGATCGATGGAGGAAGGGGGGGTGGGGAGAAAGGAAGGAAAATTCCCCTCGCCGCGTTTTGCCAGGCCTAGGCCGGCATCTCCCTCTCCCAGCAACTTTAAAATCCGTAAGATCCCTTTCCCGCCCCACAGGGGGATTCCCTCTCCCCTACAGGGTGTAGCCACGCACCCAACCCTACTATGCCTTGCCCCCGCTACAGAGACGCCACCCAGCTGCTCCCCACTTCCTCTCCCCGCCACGCAATCCTACAACCGGTGACCAAATGCGCCCGCGCGTGCCATGATGCCCACGCCGCGGTTTCCAATCCGCGCAACGTGGCCCAGGCAGCTCTGAATCCCCCTAAACAACAACTCCTCTGCCCGTCCCCGCAATTAGGTAGGGTCGGCCTCTTCCCACCTGCCCAAAGCGATCGTTCCCTCGGATCAAACCATTGCGCCTACCGACCAACCTCTCCTGCGTATAATCCGCTTTGGCAAGAGGGTGAAATTACCGGGTGAGCAAAAGAGGCGCGTCACGGCCGCTCTGCGTCCCGAGACCCTTCCCAAGTTGCCCCAATAGGACCAGGCCTGGAACTTTTCACTTTTTATTTGTTTTTAAACCAGGCAATATGAGATCTACAACCCTACGCAGCAGCGTCTACGTCTGGAAGGAAGCCAATGTGCGAAAGCGAAAGGTAAGGATTACTATCCTCCTCACCAACTGGAGCAACTTGATACTATGCACTTTGGTGTGTATTTTTTTGCAAACCGCCCAGTGGTATAGAAGTTTAATAAATAATGACAACTTCCAGTCGACACGGGTTGTTGTGAGCATGAAGGTGGCACGAGCCCTGCCCCTCTTTCTTATCAAGTGAAAGCCCTTCTCCTGCCACCCTGGCTGCAATATCTCCCTCCCACTTACCTCTCACTTACCACTCACACGTTTAAAACGGCTGTTTTAAAGCCCGCACTTACTTGCCTCCCTATTCCAGCCCCCCTAGCATGGCTTCCCGTCTTCTGATGAATTATCTCTCCCTCGACACGCAAGCGGAGCAAAGACCTCCCAGCCGCCGCGCTGAACACCGAGTGCCTCGCACCGGGTTCCCACGACCACTTGTCACGAGTCTCTCTGAACCCGCAACCAAGGGCGTGAGGTTGTTGGGGGGGCCGCTCCATTTTTATTTTAGCTTCGCCTTGTTCTGCCTTCCTCAGGGGATACTCATAATAAACAACAACAGGCCTCTTAGCCCCTCGCCCACCCGGCCCCTTACCTTTCTGGTCAGCGCATCGCCTCTCCTTCAGGGGCGCCGGGGAGGCGCAGCGAGGTGGCTCCCGGCTCGCTCCCTCTGCGCCAGCCGTGCCACGCCGGCCATCCCACAGCTACCAGGCTCCTTTCAGCCCCGCCGTCTCCGGACTCCGCCGGCCAACCCACCGTCGCCTCACACTCTCCTCCTCCTTTCCCTCAGCTTAGCCTGCCTTAACCTGAGGCGGGGACTAACCTGAGCCTCTCTTGGCGCGTGCGCGCATGCGCCCTCGTCCTTTTTTCCTCTCTCCGCCTTCCCCGCCCTACGGCTATTTGTTGAGGCTGGAGAGGGATCGCGACGTTCGGCGTTCGCGACGCCCTGCCGTAAAGCGGAAAGGCAGAAGTCGACCGTTGCCTGTTATCGAGGGTTGGAGCGGACCTTGCGCGCCGGTTATCTGCCCGGCGACCGGGTGGAAGGGGTCGACGTGCGCATGCGTCGGTCGTGCGCCGAAAGATGGCGGCGGCTGTGAAGAGCCGAGTTTCCCTCAGCCGCCCGGCGGCGGCGGCGGCTTCACGCGCATCTTGCGTCCGTTTTTCCTCCTCGTCCCCCGGGGGTTCCCCTCGCGGCGGAGGGCCTGAGGCCGGGGGTGTATCTCCGCCCCACGAAAGCCGGGTAATGGGGGCTGTGGGGGTGATTGGAGGCGAGGGAAAGTATGGCGGGGGTTTCCCCTCAGAGACACCAGCATGGCTGTCAACTTTTCCTTTTTTTAAATTATTTTTTATTATTCCGAATAGGATTCCTCGCAAGAAAAGGGAAAAGTCGACAGCTATGCGACCAAAGTCGGTGGTGCGTCCTAAGCACATTTACTCGGGAGTAAGCCCTGTTCAGCACAGCGAGCCTTACTTCCGAGGAAACTTTGGGTGAGGTTATTGCTGCTTGTATTTGTTTCAAACTCAGGCCTCGGCTTTCCAAACTAATGCTTATTTTTTCCGTATCATTTCTTCTTCTTTTATTATTATTATATTTATTCATACCCACTGTTTCACCTGAAGGGGACTCAAACTGGCTATTTATATCCCACTATTCAAGGAGTTCTGAACCGATGTGTCTTTTCTTACTCATTACAGCCTATATTCTGCTTTTCCCACAGTGAGTTCAAGGCAGCCTGCTTGGTTCTCTTCTCTCTCCCCCCCCCCCCATGGTATCCTCACAACAGCCCAGTGAGGTAGGTGAGGCTGCAGGGGAAGTAACTGGCTCAAGCTCACCTGGTGAGCTTTGTGGCCGGAGCAGGAATTTGAACCTGGATCTTGCCCCTCCCCATCCCGGTTTAAGACCAGCAAACCACTACACCATACTGGTTCATTTCCATCCCCATTTTGTCTTCATAACAACTGTGAAGCAGGTCAGGCTGAGGGATGGGCATGTGGAAAGCTGCTTTGAACCATTGGGTCACTGCAGTGGGCATCACTTCAGGGTTTCAAGCAGGAGTCTATCATGGCCTTACCTGCAGTTGCTAGACATTAAACGTGGGACTTTTTGCATGCAGTGGGAGGAGTTCAAGACACCTGGAGGGTTTAAGGTTAGGAAAAGCTAGTGTAGTGGGTGACCCAAGATTATGAAGATAAAATGGGGAAGGATTTCACAGACCCCACAAGGGTCATCTAGTTCAACCCCCTGCCATGCAGGAATATTTTTACCCCATATGGGGCTCAAAGCCACAACAAATTCAAGAGTCTCATGCTCTACAGGTACATGTTTCCTTGAGCTACCTCTTCCAGTGTTTCTCAAACATGGGTGCCCGGCTATTGCTGGACTACAACTCCCATCACCCCTGACCACTGGTTCTAGCTAGGGATGATGGGAGTTATAGGTCAACAAGAGCTAGGAACTCAGGTTTGAGAAACTGCTAGATGCTCCTTGAACCATTTCCCCAGGCAACCCACTCTTCCGCTTTATTATTAACATTCTGTCACCATTTCCTTCAAAATCAGTTAGCATGTTTGTGAGCATTCCATGACATCACAGCAGCAGTTTAGCCAATGCCATCAGTGGCTTCCAGATGATGGGTGAGAACTGCTTTTTGGTCTTACTTATATGAGACAAAATAAGCACAAATAACTGTTAGCTGAATCCAGTGCTGCTTGTGCACTTAGTGTTTCCCAGTTTTAGTTTGTCACACTTCTAAATACAGTAGTCCTTCATTCAAATGAATCCCTGGGCAGTTCACAAACAAATCAGTAAAATACAGATAAAAATGCATTCTAACAATGAAACATAAGGACAAAAATTAGCATCAAATACAGATACAATTTATCAATAGACGTAATATTTCCCAAATTCCAAAACCTTGGCCTGTCTAATTGGCACCACTTAAAGTTTGGAAGAATAAGTGCATTTCAGTTTGGCACCAGAAGCCTGTCAGTTTACAGGTTGACTGCACCTGTAGGTGGGGAGGATTCTGTAGTCAGGACACCACTACAGAGATGGCTACATCCCCATGGACAGGACAGCCAGAAGGGCTTATCTTAGGGCCTGGATTAGCAAGACCCTGCCCCCAGCATCCTCAACACATTGCACCCTCCTCATTTCCCTACTTTCCCTGTGTTGTACAGGGTAGGTCTGCAGAGGACTTCTGCTTGAAATTGCTTGAACATAAGTAGAACTTAAATGTATGTTGTGTTGTGTTCAAGCAAATGTATGTAAAAGAAACCAACAGACACACACACACACACACACACACACACACACACTCCCTGCACAGCTGGGAGCGATGTGCTCTGGGTTGCTGTGGGCAGAGCATCTGTGAGCTGCAGCAGCACTCCCCCCTCCCGTCTCTGCTTTTAAAAATAATTTATAAAAGCAGGTGCCTGAATGCTACTACTGTGATTCTTTTAACATATTTGCATGTGATGGTAGTCTGATTGGGATGGGAACTATCAACACATATGAGCTGTATTCCAAAATGATAGCGAACTGGCAGGCTATGCTGATTTGAATACTGTAGTTGCATACTGTTACTTAACGTCTTTCCTTTTTTGTAGAAATATGGCAGATTGTAGGTTTTAGTAGGTAGACACAGTGGATATTATACAGTATTCTTGCATGATGATCCTAGCCAAGTTTACTTGGAAGTAAGGCCTATTCATTTAAAATGGATTTACTACCAAGTGAAATACTGAAAACATAGGCTTAATTTCAGTTTATGTTCTTCAGTTACGATGCATATGCCGTTTATTAGAATCCTGTATTGCGCAAATGCAGAAATTGGTGCTGGGTGCAAATCATCATTGTGAGTACCTCTGCTTTAATTTGTTAATTTTAAACACATTGTTAGTCCTTTTGGCTACAAAGATAGGCTAGGAAATACAGGGTTATGGGCCACATAAATTATCTCTGATATCATAGTTAGATTTTTCTCCCAATGTGAACTGGAACAAATGTGATCTGGAGACCTGTTAATGCTCACTTCTTAACTTTTAGTGTCTTGGGTACCTTAGGTTTTCAGATAAAATTGAAAAAGTTTGTGGTGCCTTTGTATGGGGAGAAAAATGTACTATTAAAAAAAAACACCTCTTTTTTTAAGGCTGCAAGTTTTTGCCCTCCTTCACACTCTTGCCACGATTGGATTGGTCCTCCTGATCGATGTTCGAACCTCCGACCAGTAATATTTTATATATCCAAACACGAATCCCCACTGGAACGAAGGCTTAGAGAGCTTAGACAGGAAACTCAGATTTGGAATCAACAGTTCTGGGCAGACCAGAATATATCATTTAGAAAGGTAAGCATGCAGAGGAAGTGTAAAACCACTTGGTGGTGCTGGGAGTCCTTAAAAGTTTGTAGGGAGAATTGCTGAGAGGCATCCAACATATTTTTTTGCTGTTGCCTTATTGTATGAGGCCTGATCTTTGCACCCCGTAGTTATTAAGAATAAAATAGAATCAGAAGAATAATTTTTAATACATAAATGCCCCAAATAATATATTTTATGATGTCACTCCGGTAAGAATCACTGCCTGCAGGAACGAATTCAGCCTCTCCTGTTACAGATGGAAAGGACAGAGAACTGAATGTACTGCTGTATGACCTTTCCCAAGCGTGCAGGTCAAACCAAATAGATAACTAGGCCAGTAAGAAGTTACCCCAGTAATTTTCCTGCATTACAGATTGCTTATTTGTAAAATAATCCATAAATTGTTTGCTGAAGATCATCTAGTCAGCCAGTTAATATATTTGATGGAGTGGGATCAGGGATCATTAAAAGTCCTACACTTGGTAGCAGTTATTGCTGAGGTGAAATAAGCAAACTAAGATGCCAAAAACCTTATATTCTAAAATTTCCTGATACTGTTTCAGGAAAAAGAAGAATTTGTCTGTTCCAAATTGAAATCCAAAGGTCTACAACTGAGAGATGAAAAAGGTTAGATTGTTGTTTCTACATTTCACAGCACTTTCTTATGGGGAGGATTCTGATTTACATTTTAGAAAATGTTCTAATCTAGCATAAATAATAATTATTTCTTAAGCAAACTTTGTCTTTCTGTATAAGGGTGTTACTCCTTGGCACTTAATTTACAAAACAGAGAGAGAACTCAGAGAAGAGTGTAGTGAGAATCTTATAGTTTATGGCAGAAGCCTAGAGAGGTTACACCTGAATTCCAGGTTATGCTATGAATCTGCAGCTTTTCAGTTTCTAAGAAGGAAAAAAAAATACTGCCTTTAGTACTGCACTCTCAAAAATCCCATGAAGAAAGTCACTATTATTCATTGATTACATATAGGAAAGTAAGCTAAGAGTTTGTGATTTATGGAAGACAAACGAAGAAGTCCATAGCAAAACTTAAGACTACAGTCTGAGTGTTTGAAAAGTCAAGTTCAGTTTTTGCAAGGGATTTATGTTTAAATGTTTGTACTGGTATGATGATTAAAACATTCTGACTTAGGTGTTGTGATTTTTTTCTTTCAGGCCAGAAAATAACATTGTCTGCAGAAGAAATGGCTGAATTTTACAAAGCCTTTTTAAGTAAAAACTTTAAAAAACATTTCTATTATAACAGGTGAGAATATGATTCCTGGAACAATTGTGTCTCTTTATCTAAAAAAAACCACTTTTTGCTAAAAAAAACACTTTTTTTAGCAAAACCTTTTCTGAACCACACAGATCTTGTTTCTTTGCTGCCACCTGATTCCCCATTTTGCTATTCCATTAAGAGTCAGAATCTTTGCTTTACCATAATTAATTATTTATGCTTTTCCTACTGTTATGCTAGGCATCATACAGCAATTTATAGTGCATAATCCTCTGTACAAATTCACAATTTAATAAAACAAATATGCTTACAAAGAAAGGAATCTGGGAAGGAGGGGAATAACACTGAATGTTAATCAGGTAACCAAGCAACTTTCTAAGGCATATCAACACAATATTAGTCTGCAGACTTGTACTCACTTCCCTGGGAGCAAGTACCATTGAACTTAATGGTACTTACTACTGAGTAGATGTGCATAGATTCACTTCATTATAAATGTTTATTCCATCATTAAAAAGATATTCATCTTTTCCTGGTGTTTACTTAGGTCGATGGTTTTGATATGCTGGGTCAAGTCTTTGCTAAATATTTTTTGGTTTAGTTTTTACACATAAGTGTACAATAATCCTTTAAACAGAAATAACTGGGATGTCCCTTAAGCTAATTCTTTCCTCACTGCATTGGTATCACATTATTATAGCTTATGTAACTACAGATATAATTAGTCATCAAGTTTCTTTAAAAGCCTATCTGCAATATGTAGATACTTGCCTGGAGCCATGCATTCATTATCACACATGGATTATGAAGTAGGGCATCTGAATAAGCACTTTAAAAACTTAAAGTAATTTTGCTTTAATTGGCAAGGAAAGAAAAAGCACCGATTAAGTCAACTCAAAATCTTACATCTTTTACTGTCAGTAATAATTTCAAGATGGCTAATTGTGTTTTATGTTGCTTTGTTTCCTTGGTTCTGAAATTTAGAGATTGGTATAAACGAAATTTTACCATCACATTTCTCATGGGACAAGTGGCATTTGAGAAAGCTTGCAAGAGATTTGGATTGAAAAAGAGTGAAGCTGAAAGCTAGTAGGTCACAGTGCTGTATATATTTGATGAAAGGCCTAATTATTACTGGAATCAACCATGGCTGTTTCTTAAAATCAGATATTTGAAGCTACATGAATGCAAGTTGAACAGCACTTCCCATTCTACTTCAACGAAGCCAACTACCATTGTTTATGCTGCAGAACCGTAGTTAAAAGCTTCCTTGGTGAGAGATGAACTGCACCAAATAAAGGAATCTTTCTTCCTGATTTGAAAAACATGTTTGTATGCTCCATTATTTCATTGCCATCTTGATCTACAAGCTGGCACTTACGTTCCCGAGCAACTATTTTGTAGTAAGAAAAAGGAAAGCATGTGAGCTACACTTCAGGTAAACTTGGGCAGGATGGGGGGATTAAATTATACAGTCAAACCTCGGTTGTCGAATGTAATCCATTCTGGAAGTCTGTTCAGCTTCCGAAATGTTCAACAACTGAGGCACAGCTTCTGATTGGTTGCAGGAGCTTGCTGCACTCAAGCGGAAGCCGCCTTGAGCATTCGGCTTCCGAAAAACGGAGCATTTACTTCCGGGTTTTTGGCGTTCGGGAGCCAAAACGTTCCAAAACGGAGGTGTTTGGGATCCAAGGTTTGACTGTACATATTATGACAAAAGTACATGATTACAATAAGTGCAAAAATTCAATATTTCAATTCATTTAGCTCTAAAGTGTTTTCTAAAAGTATATTTGTAGGCACTTTTCTTTATAATAAAGCAACTGTAATAGTCTTCTTAACACTCCTGGGAATTAGACACACCAACAGCTTTAGGATATATTGTCTGTTTACTGCTGCACCTCTCATTGATGGCTTTGGACTATCTTGTGCTGGTTGTTTCATTATTAATTATTTCATTGTGTTCCAATTGCCAATTACCCTGCTGTCAAGAGAGAATTAATGTATATGCTGAGAAATGTAAGAGTGCTTCTAGAAATCAGTTCACATTGGTAATTACTTTTAGATCGCATACTGTTCTGCTGAGCATAAATGATGTGTGTATCTCTGTTTAGCAGTTGTCTGTTCTAGCTTAACGTGTGTTGAGCCAGAATTATACTGCATGCTTATTATCCTGTGTCTAGGATTATGCTTTTATATAAAGCGTATATGTTCTTGTTTTAAGGAGCATTCAGCCTGCAATAGTCACATTTCTCAGTACATGAAAGGACTTCAGTCAGATTTGGCTATATACCAAATTTGTTTTTTCAGAGAAGCTCACATCATGCACTCCCTCCATTTTCAAATGACAACGAGTTTCCTCTACATATTAATTCCTCAGGATATAAATTTAAAGGAAGACAGCTTTTTTTTTTTTTTTGGAGTAAGATCCACATACATGCTACTTCAGCATGGTCAAGGCTCTTTCCCTTCCACATAGTTGACATACTAAATCATCTCAAAATAGTATTGTACTTTTGTGCAGGTGCTAGCTGCCAAAGCATCATGAAGCACACTTTCTACACACATGCTCTTACATGGGAATTTTTTTTCTGCCTCACTGAGCTCAGAGTCGAAGTGCTTTTCTTCCTAGTTTATATAAGAACAGCTTCCATCAGATAAATTTGGAGGGGTGTAAGAATGGTAACATTGTAAGCACCACTACATAGGTTAGGCAGATAGTGCTTGTGAAGTAAGATGAAATAAATCAGTGATGGATCCTGATGATTCTTCTATTACATGAACAATTATCAAATGGATTTGTGTACAGTATAAGAAAATTGAAATAAGGAATATAATTTATTTTAATTAGCTTTCAGTTTTCAGATTGACCAATTACATAAACTCTAGAGAATTACCAAAGTGTTTGAGGAGACTTCAGAATTAATTTCTCCTGTACTTAATAAAAGGTTTCATTTAAACCGTTTTGTGTTTTCTTCATTTGCATATATTCTCATGAATGATGGTAACATTTGTCCTCAGTAAGAATTATTCATTCCTGGAACAATGGCTCTTGACTTTCTCTGTCCCAATATTTGGCTTCATTTCAGGATAGAAATTTGAACCAATGGGTCATAATTCATTGGGTCCTAAATTATGGTAAGAAAAGAAAAAAAGACATTGGTGGATCCCCTTTGTAAACCATGAGCATTCAAGGCAAATGAAACTATAAAAGGTGGAGATGTAAAAGTGCTAAATCATATACAGAAAAAAATATAATTGCATAACAAAAATTCACTTACAAAATATTTGTTCATATTTGGAAGATTGTGTTCTTCAGAGGAACATTCCCAAGGATACTTCTGTGGAACTGAGAGAGATACATACTCCTCCACAGTAAATACACACTAGCCAGTATTTAGCAACCATAAACATGCTATGGGATCACAGTTTGTGATCTCCCAGTGCCTTTCCTTTTTTGCTGAAATTTGCCTTATGTTGCTTAACCGAGTTCTGGTGGTTCATTTTGACCACCTGATCATACTAAAACCGGCTTAAAAACCTTTCCCCTCTAGTTTTCTAGGCAATTGGATATGTTGTTTGCTGTTCTGTTTTGTATATACAGACCACTGCAGCCTTGCTGTGCACCAATGATTCTACCCATTTGTAAATCTTTGAAAGATAGATAATTTATCTTTGTGGCAGAACATGAAGAAAAAAATGTATATTATTAAAGTAATACTCTTAGAATGGTGACTCATCAATACCATACTGATTTATAACAATCATTCTTCAGCTGAGAATGATAGCAAGAAAGTCATTATTTTTTCATAAACATAAGCCAGCCTGCTGTTAAATGATTGGCTCTGCATTATAATTGCTGATCATAAATCATACATCAAAGCATTCAGAAACATGGAATTCCCTATGGATTTTTCAAAATAAATTTGCACCTGCTCTGTAGCAGTAATAGCCCCCTTGTCTAAACCAAATGTGAAAGGCAACATTGCCATTTACTGTCCACAGAGGTTGCCAAAACAAGAGATTTGCTTTCCAGTGAGCTTTTAAATACTTCCGTTTTTAAAAACCCAATTATCACCATGTTATCTTTCGAGTCCTTTTGCAACGATATGAGTTATTTTGCTAATGCCAGATTGTTTGTAATTCTAAATGGTTTCTGCTGTGATAAAGAAATGATTATTGCATTCCAATCATGTTTTTATTTCCTACTATTCATTGGATCTCTCCACTGAGGTATTCATTTCAGTGGAATAAAAGAGGAGGAGGAAAGGGAATGAAGAGGCTGATTGAAGACTCATGAATGTCTCTGTGTGAATGCAGCTCCTATATTAGATAATGTGTGTTTATAAATCAGAGCATATTAGTTAATGTAAAAAAAGTGAAATGAGCTTTCCTAGCATAATTATAAGCAGGATATATTGTTAGGGTTTCAGTTTTTCATGCCTTCACCACCACCTTTTTTTAAAAAAAAGTTTCTTCAGGCACCTAGCAGAAAAGCATTAAGTATTTAGCACAAAGCCAGTAGTGGAAAACATTTGGCTTATGGCCAATGATATATTTGTATCGGCATGTGGTTATAACTTGAGTCTCTTGCACTGAGAACGTGTCATGCTACCTGTAGGCACTAACAGTGCAAACAACTTTAACAGTGTTCATTTCAGTATTAGTATTCATGTTGCTGCCCTCTAATTGTTGACACTCCTGGGTTATGTGTCGTATTTTGGTATCTCAGAACCCTTTTTCTTGTATGATCAAAGGTAAAAGAAAAGTATGGAATGCCTCTCCCTTTGCCATATGTGAAGTATCATCCATCAGCTGCTTCAGACTTCTTTTAAAAGATGTATCTTTTTGCCTAGGCCAGGGGTTCCAAAACGGTAGTCTGAACCTTATTCAGGTGGTCCGCAGCCTGTCCGCAAAAATACAATTAAAAATCATACTACAGCAAGCACAGTGAATTATGATTGCTAAAACAGGCAGAAAAATCATTAAGTAATTTGCCAGGACCCAGCAATATTCAAGTGATTGGAGAGGAGGGGAGTCCACTGCTTAGAAATTTTAAATATTAAGCAGTTTAGCAATGTTTCTGAACAAACCACAATTGTATATGTGTGCAATACAGTATATACAGAATTTAGCTATTGCAGAAAAAATAACACATAGGTTAATGGGTCTCTAAGGGACAAGAAGTTTTGGATCATTTCTATTCAGCATGGTAGGATTTTATTTCATATAGTTTCAGATTGAGAGATATCTCTTCCCACCCCACTATATTTCTATATTATTGAGTTTTGGTTATTGTTTACTTGTCTCTGTGGTTCCATAAGAATTTGAAAACTAATAAAAACATTTTTCTGCAAATACAGCATCTAGCACAGTGCGTTACAATTGCTACAGCAGGCAGAAAAAAATCATTAAGTGGTCCGTCAAGACCCTTAGCAATTTTCATGTGGTCTGAGGGGGCACTGCTTAGATATTTTAAATATTAGGCAGTTTAGAAATGCTTTTAAATTGTGTATCATTGCAATATAGTCTTGTTTTCTAACAAAGAATGCCCTCATTTTCTGACCTTACCTTGTGTGTTTGTGCTAGCCTGGCAGCAGCGGCAAAAATACTTGATGTAGTCCCGAAATGACAAAAGAGGAGAGTTCCATGCATAAACCCTACATACAGACTAGGCCTAAAGCAGATTAAGCCCAGGAGAACTACATTGTCTCTGCAGTCACAAATGATTATTTCTACCATATTGAGTTTATAACCAGTTGCAGCCATTAGCCAACAGCTCCCTGAAACTCTGGTTTGCTTAGCATACATTTATGTTTTGACCTCTGGCTAAATTCTACATTTCTAGTAAAATTAGAACATTAATCATAAATTGAATGCATCACCTAACATGCATTGCAACAACAAAAATAATATTAAGAGCTTGGCAATTACCTGACCCCAAGATTTTCCATAGACTTCCTATTGGATTGCCAACTCATTTGAACCAATATTTACTGATTTTGAGGGTAATGGTAAGTATGGTTAGTATATCAAAAGAGGTTGTATTGTGGCAGTGGACAAAGCTGAAGGGTACCTTTTGATTAAATG